CTACTGTAACCCTTAATCTCTAACTCTAATCCCTACTGTAACCCTTAATCTCTAACTCTAATCCCTACTGTAACCCTTAATCTCTAACTCTAATCCCTACTCTAACCCTTAATCTCTCACCCTAATCCCTACTCTACTGCCTAACTCCAGCCCAGGCGCATTAGTCATCAGATAATCTGGGATCTAACGCGACCTACAGACATGTTTGTGGCTCTGTTCAGCAGCTGGAGGACAGGAGGGAAACATGAATTCATTATTCTTCTCCAGCAGCTTCAAACACACTCAGAGTGTGAGCTGGACCGGGTCGCACCGCCTGTGGACCACATCTGTCTGCAGATGTTTGGAGCTCCATGAAAAGGAAGCGGCGATGATGAAGATGCAGACTGAAGCTGCTGATTTACTGGCTGCATTAATCAGAGCGATGTTGGTGTGGGCTCGTCGCCTGGAGAAGCTCTCTGCTCTGGAGGGCTTTCCTTTCTCTGGGAGCTCAGAGTTTGAGTTCAGGCTCTGAACGTTTTGTTCTTCACTCCTCACTTGAGTTTTTATTACACAACGTTTAATTCTTCCTGTCATGAACCAGCTGCCACTCGTCACAGGAAACTCTTTCAGTTTCTTTCTTTCTGCTCGACGGCTACCATCAATCAATCCCAAATGTTCCAAAAACACAGACAATCCAACTAATTACTGTCGTTAAAAAACATCAGTCTAAACCGAAGCAGTTTTTAATTTGGTTAAATACAGTAAAGTTTTAGAAAGTGTTTTTGTGTTTTGTGGCACTTCTTCAAACAGACGGTTTATTTATATACTGAATGTTTTTTAAAAGGAAAAATCTGATTGATGCTTCAGTTTTCCTGCAGGATACGAGTCACAGAGGCAGGATTAGGATTAAAATAAAATAGTTTATTTCTTTCAGTTGATCGTTTTATCGACAAGTTCAAAGTTTCAGAAAAAACCTGGTGATGAAAACAAAACTAACACCAGTTTGTTTTGTTACAGCTGACAGATTCTTCCTGTTCTGCTGCTTCTTCTTCTCACGCTGATTATGCAACAAAACCTGTGCTCAGAAACATGCACGCTGCACGTGCACGCTCCTGTCCATCAAACCGGACCTCAGACACTAGTGGGCTTGTCCCAGGGTCCATCAGACCGAAGGGTTCTGATGATGCTGAGTGCAGATGTGTTCTGGGTTCCTCTGCAGGCCTGTTGGTGATGGTTCCGGTTCTGACGGCCTCCAGCCCGGCCAGCATGTGCACCCCCCTGAGGACCCTAAACGACAGCCTGAGCCACAGGAGACGCTACATGGTGAGATGCTGCTGCAGTAGAAACACAGAGGGGGTGGGGGAGGGGGGGTCAGACTGACTGTAATGTTGAGTCTGGGGATAAACAAAACAAACAACAGCTTAAAAAACGTGAAAAGTTTAAAATCCACCCTGAAGTGAACTGGGAGCCTATGTAGTGAGTAAAGTCCAGGTGTGATGCGACTGTGCCTCTTAAGCCCCTTTTCCACTAGTGCCCCTTAGTGTAGGGTGGGTACGGTTTGGTACGGTTTGGTACGGTTCCAAGCCATTTCCATTGGGCTAGATTCATGGAACCAGCCCTTTTTTTACTACCTACTTCGTTGTGCTTCCAAGCGGTCTCAGTCAACATCAAAATGCGACGTCAGAACTGTCACTGATTGGCTAGGGCAGGGGTTCTCAAGCCATTTGGGTCCAGGGACCCCTTACAAGGATGAAAACAATTCCAGGGACCCCCTCATAAACCCCATGCTGTTTAAAAAGATAATTTACTGTCATTTCAATCCCTAAATGCCATTGGGATATATGTATTTTATTAAATTTATTATGTTTGTTTTGTTAGTTCATTGTTCCCCATGCATTTTTAAAAACACAAACAAAATTAACAATTTTGTGAAATATTTTCAGGACACCCAAGACACATCTTGCGGACCCCTGAGGGTCCTGCGACCCCAGTTTGAGAACCTCTGGGCTAGGCGGTGGCGTCACTGGTTGCATCTGAGCTATCTTTACAACAACTCGAGGCTCCATTTTTTTCAATTGTAGCAGTGACATTAGTGGTGATTCCATCCAATTTTAATTCAAAGTTTTAGCAAATTTTAAAAATTTGAGAACTTATTTGGCAAATGTGTTTCCATCTCTCATTTTATGCATTAACTTGTTTTAGAAAAACCCAAAAACCACACCCACCAACCTCCCAAAACACACCCACTGGAACCGGACTGGAACGTCAATGGAAAAGCACCCGAACTGACCCGTTCTGACACTGACTGTACCGACACTACACTAGTCACTAGTAGAAAAGGGGCATTAGTGTTAGTCAGCAGTCCAGCAGCAGCGATCTGGACCAACTGGAGTCGAGTCTGAAGTCGAGACTGGAGTTTAGAGACCCCTGGTTTGTTCCAACATGAAGAGCATCACAATAATCAATACAGAACTGATGAAAGCATGCTTTGCATTTTCAAGGTCCTTTCTACTCAGGAAGGGTTTAACTTAGCCAGAAGTCAGAGTTGAAACAACTCTTCTAACAACTCAGTCAATCTGTTTTTCAAATTTAGACAGTCGTCAAACGTCAGACCCAAACTCTTTATCACAGGTCTACAGTAAGGAGCCAAGTTATTGAACATTTGGCCACATTTTAGCCTCAAACAAAATACATTCTGTTTTGTTTTCATTCAGGTGCCACTCTCTAATATCCTTAAGACCATTCAAAATACAGTCTAAAGGATTTATGTTGTTGGGGACAACTGGCAGATAGACTCCCATATCATCTGCATAAAAATGAAAGTGGAGATTATATTTAGCTATAACCAAACTCAGGGGGAAGTACTGTACAGGACCAAGGATAGAGCCCTGAGGCACACCAGTACTTAGAGTGAAAGAAGAGAAGTCATGAATCATCATGTTAAAAGTCCTGTAAGACTTTTTTTTAGAGTCCAGCCCTAAAAGACTATCATTTTCCACTTTTAAAAGAGCAGACTTGGTACTATGTCCACATCTAAAACCAGACTGGAATTGATCTAAAACAGGGTTATGTTCTAAAAATGATTACATCTGAATAAAAACAACTGGACCTGAAACAAAACAATGAGTTAGAAACGGGTTTAAAATGAGATAAAACAGAAGGATCCAGGTTGGGTTTTTTAAGCAGAGGTCAGATGACAGTATGTTGAAAAGGAATTAGATCTATCCCAGAACAGAGACAACTGTTGGTCCAACTACACTAAAAACCTTTTTGAACACCTTCCATGAAGCAGCTCTGTTGTCCTCCATCCATATTTTCAGTTCCAGGCTGAGTCATTTCTACCTTCTCCTCTCTGTCAACGCTCTCTGGTTTCATTT